GTCAATGACATCCCCCACGTTCGCCGATCGTACCCGGCGAGATGAATTTGATGAGGGAATCATAACCCTGCGGAAGATGGGCAAATAATATTAAATATCGATCGACGATCATCCATATGGCGAACAGACATTAGCATAGGAGATTTACAGATTCAGTTGATGATTAACATTCGGCATAAACACACGCATGCAATAGGAATTTTAAAAACTTTATAATAACGTACATATTCGAACAGTATTACTAGTAAAGCGCAGTGAATCTTTCAGACAGAAACAGAAGTAGAAAGATCAACATTTCCCCAGCCTTCAACGGCTGGTTTGGCTAAAACCGCTTCAAGTCCCGAAAAAAAAAACGGATCGATTATTCCGCGCGGCTAGGAAGACAGGTTTTACACAAAAACGGCTGAGTGAGAAATGAAATTTAGTCAGTTTGGCTCTGCTGTCGTTATTCCCGAAAAGTTGTGGCAGCATGTGACACTTGCAAATGGTGCCTGCAACTGGCGCGACACTACTGCATCAAACTCAAACGTGCACGTCACACTCTTCTCAACTGTTTAATCACGACCCCACGTAATAACGGATAAAAACCCACTCAGTAGTTCCAATAGACCCGAGTTTTTTCTTTCTATGAGGACAGTAGTCATAAATTAAGGATAGAATCTTTGATGTTAATCAATCCCGTTTCCAGGATGCGCCGCCGTATGCAGTTGTATTCAGAATCGTAGTGGAGTATCGATAGCGTATTTGACCTATGCAATGAAATGCGGAGATCGGCCGATGGACAAGTCAGGGCTTCAGTCTCCCAGACGAGTCTGATACCAACTAACCTGTCCTATGGAAAGCCTGGACAGCTTCGGCTTGTGACGACCCTAAATTCCCTGGCCATCGGTGTGTGATAGCGCACCACTCACCACTTGATCACCTCTACCCTAATAATGGGTAATATCAGGTATAATAATCATGGTTACCACCTGGGCTGATATCGATCCGGGATACAATACCCGGACCATGTGTTTGATCATTTGCCAGTACATCACTTAAGCCCAGGTCTAAACACCCTTATTATAAATAAATTACAAACAATTGGATGTCTTTTTCATAAAAACAACAAAGTATCGCAAAAGGTCCCGAAAGTCGTAAAAAGAAATGAAAATGTTCCAGAGAAAAATCAAAGTCGTAACCATCGAACAAAAATTTATAGATTTTGAATCTCTTAAATATCTAATAGGCACTTTCGATGTTATTGTTATGATCAAATGCTTGGTAGCTCCTGTGAAGTCTGAGACAACACGACTATTTGCATAAATTATAGCTGTCAACTCGAGGGAAAAAACCAGAATGCCAAGCTAGTTCCTACGAACTAGTGCGATTTGATCGAAAGGAGCCGGAAACACAGAGACTTTTCCTTTTGATTCCCTCCCAACAAACTTAGGAACTGGATCCTTCCAAACTGGCAAATTATCAGATTGAATTAGCACGTTTTCGATAACTCCTAAGCTATAATCACGCTTATTCGCAGAGGTGACCTCAGAATGAATCTAATATCTAGGTTCTAACGAATGATCATAAACATAAGCAAACATCATAAACATATTGAAGAGAAGCAGGTGTTGGATTGTGGCAGTTATGTTTCCTGAACAATTTTCCTGATAGATTTGTTTGGTTGATTCAACTAACACTAGTAATCGACATGGAAAAGTTACCGAGCTCAACTGAAATCATGCGGCCTGTGATAGTTTATAGTCAATTTTCATAAACGCTGTTTAGCAATATATGCCACACATGTGCGAAATTCTACCATTTCATGTGAGAATGAAAAGCGATGGAAGCATTATATTCAGGTTTCGCTCTTTCCTATTTTCACATTTCAGAGTGCTGAGTGTCAGAAAAAACGAAAAAGTTCAAAAAGCAGCAGCACCCAGTTGTTGAGACTTATGAAGTTACCATGAACTGGAAGGATATCTGCTCGTCACAAAAATTATTTGGTGGCCAATCCGCCTAAACTTGTGAGTCCTGCCTTGGTCTGGCGAAACGGGCGAGAAAACCAGCAGAAGATTTATGCGTTTCCGTCCCTCCAGGGATTTGTCATCAAAACGTGAAAGCGAGAAAAGGGTATAAGGATTGCAATCTAGGGCAATTCTTGAAAAAGGCTTTTCAGAGGGGATGTCTTACATAACCGTCGATAACAAGCGCATCAAGAAAACTACCAGCAAAGGTGGGTTCATTAGTGATGAATCCCAGAATCGCATACATCGTGGATTATAGAAACTGTAGACGGGAGGCTTCTAATGATGTAAGATTAATTATGACTGGAAGCGAAATCGCTCTGCCGCTGCAGTACGCATGAACCATGTGCACCGCGATCCGTGCCTTCGTTTTGTCGTTCACCCCAGCATAAAGAAAGCGAATGTGCTCCCATGCTCGGCTTCTCTTTCAGTTAGTAACTAGCTGTGGCGTTCACATCGATCACTTTAATCGATGAACAAATGAAATGTCTTTTTGAGTGCTACATGAGTAAGAGGGAAAACTAATAAGTCTAGTCTCGACAGTTTTTCGACGTCATGCGGTGATTGTGGAGGCAAATACCATTCGATAAAGAGAACAACGAAGTCACACAAACCACTATGCACACTCATTCCTGCCATTATGCAACAAACACTGCAATATCGATCGCCGTGCGCGTGGCTCATGCGTTGCGGCAGCGGCAGGGTCGGCAATCGGCGATTGCTAACTGGACGGCAAGGATCGTCTGGGCTGCCTTCTATGATTAGCTGAATGACGAAATCAATATGTATTTAATGCAGCGGCGAACAGCACTTTCGTCTTCTCTATGTTACTGCGATTCGCCTTTTATGTACAACCCAGCGACTAACGATTTGAACATTTTGCCCCTTGTGTACTCATTCAAATGATATGAAAATGACCGTCTTCGACCCTCTTTTTCTCTCTATATTTCCTACTACGAGAAGAGAATCCCCAAGTAATGACATACCTCCTTAAAGGAGAGCGATTAGGTGTAGGAAAACTGGTAAGATTCCCAACACGGTTTCATTACATAACACATTTTAAAATCTACTGATAATGGTGTTGTTGATGATGACAGCTTTATGATTTTCAAATGTCAGATATATCAATAGCCTGTATGCTTAGCCTAGTGATCTACATGTTTGAGAAAGGACACTCTCTTCTTCTTCTCGAGTCGTGAGAGCAACTCAAACAGAACAGAAGTAGTGAATAGAGTCGCAGACTCAAAAAAATCACCGCCCAGAGACAAAACAGACGAAGACAAGCGAAAAAAGAGACGACAGCTGTTTTTCAAACAAAGAAAAGGATTTTGTTGAATCAGTGAATAACAAACCATTATCGATCGTGAACGGACAGGATCCGCTTTACCGCGCTACCGTAAACTGCTCTTTGAACGAACGAAAGCTAAATGGTTTTGTCTGCAAATGTAGAAGTACAGGCAACCTGACGACAGGAAAAGTGTTCAGTCCTATCAAAGAGGGAAATATCAGTGATGACTCTGAAAGTGGTGTAACGAGTGCAACCTTAAACATCTCGTTTTATGGATCCAATGCCATTTTTCAAGCTTACAGTGGCTGGGGTAGACGTTGGCTGTTTGCAATTGAAAATTTGCAAATGGTCATAAAAGAATTTTGTGGAATTACTCTGCTATCCTAGCATCTGGAATTCAGAAAGGCCCATTTCCCTTATACCGATAGTTTTACTGCGTAATGATTTCCGTGTTTCGAAAAATAGAAACTTCATTTTTCTGGAAAATCAGCAATATACGGCAATGTTATCAAGTTGAGGAATATAGATGTCGAGGAACGACAGGGAAAGCTCAATTCTATTAGAACATTCATGTCTCCTTAGATACTTCAAGAAATCGTTTATGAACCTTTAAATGGTTCGGTAACCATTTCTTTTTTAGTAAAGCGGAGAGGAAGCACTAGGTACTGACCAACATCTTTCGAATTCATGCGAGTATGCGTGTCGATCCAGAACGCAACGGACTTGGAGCAATTGTAAACTCCTTTCGAATTGTTTACATTTGTTTACTGACGCTGAGGCAAACTGTTTCCTTTCTTTTCATTTCACAGCTCAGGTAACAAACTAGTCGTGCTTTTTGGCATCGGGGGAACATCCAGAGTGTTTATTCATCTGCTAGATACTGATTATACTACGGTATTCAGAAAGTATCTATCGGAAATTTCGCAGTAGTTCAGACTTCTTCTAGGATCTTCTTCCTCACTAAATTATGTGGACCAACCAGTCGGTGGTGGTGAGATACCTGAGGAGGGCATTCTTATTCCCAATAACGTGGGAATAAGCGGGGCTTCTGGTCGTGTGGGTGTAGAATTAAGGGCCATAGCTACACTGAAGGTTTATGTGTCACGGAATTCTCCAACCTTCCTGCAGTACTCATTCAGGAAAATACTCCATCACAACTCCACACCCACAAGTTCATATCCATCGTACTCATTCATATTCATCAAACTCATCCGTCTTGTAGAGCGCTCATGAAAAGAAAAATACTGCTCTGGTTTCCTTGCACTTTCGATTATCTGATTGCGATCGATAATTATGAGGTCAATGAACGCCTATCACAACAAAAAAGATCGTACAAAGCTAATCAAATAGCCGAAAATGGAAATGGAAATGTGTGACTGTTAATCATGATCTTTCCAACCTGGTTCTAAAATGGAACCTTCGCTGTAACCAAGTAAGGCCCCCATGGCAATGAATTAAGGGCAATGAATTTCGAGACTCTCTATAAAACCGTACGGTACCAGAAGTTTTCTGCATCGGTTGCGTACGTAATATATCGTCTGCAGTTCCCGGTTTGCTGACCTACGCGATGCCGCTTTGAAGCATCCACGTCATCTATTTATCTGTCTTTTTTGATTTCCTAATTTTGAAGCTGTCGTATGGTACTTGATGGTCGTGTTGTTTGTCTAGACTCAATAATTATGGTAAATTCCACGTGTTACTTTAGGATGCGCAGGTTAATCCTCTTTTCGACTCTCTTATCATTGAGAGCCTCAGCGATCGAGCTGACTTTTGAGCTTCCGGATAATGCAAATCAATGTTTCTATGAAGATATCAAAAGTGGAGTAGACGTTTTACTGGAATATCAGGTAGTTTTTTCCTATAATAATAACCTTCCTTTTCCTGGTCTCGAGTTGAAACTTATTTGTTTATTCTTCTAAGGGAATTCTCCATGCTCCATTTATTCATACGGCTGCAAACTGTAAGCCCTACACGGATCTCAGTAAAACACGGAAAGGTGTAGGACAAGTGACCTTTCTACTATGAGGAAACGACTCTTCCACAGTTGGGATTTTCGAAAGAGTCGATGGTCCTGTGGAAAAGTAGAAACATTTGAAAACCTCTTTTCTGCAGAGTCTGTTTTCCGAATATTTAGCGATTTCGCGGGGATCGGTATTCATAGATTTTGTCTGCTTCAGTCTTTTTTGATAGAGCAATCATTTTCACTGGCGACCGTTCAGAATTGTATTTGAAGTGAGAATTTCGCTTATTGGTTTTATTCCAGTTGACACAAATATATAATACAACGTGACTTGAGTATACACAGCGGTTGCAGCCGGCTGTTTAAATAACACGATCCTCTCCATGATTACCCGGAATAGTTTATAGCTGATGTAGGAAGATTACCCGAAGAAGTCTCCCTATCTTTTAGCTCGAAAAGGGGCCGCTGTACATGAACGTGGTCACGAAAGTTCAGCATAGAATTGGACTGTTGCTGTTACAAGCTTAATGATCTGTTCCAGGTCGTTACTGGAGGACAGTATGACGTCGACTTGACATTAGAAGATCCAAATGGAAAAGTTCTATATAAAGATATGAAAAAGCAGTATAATACTCATAACTGGAAGACAGAAGTAAGTCATAAATAGTTTTTATTTTGTAATTGAAGTTCTGTATATGAAACGATAATACTTACAGGCCGCCGGTACCTACAAGGCATGTTTTTCGAATGAATTCTCGACTTTTTCTCACAAGATTGTCTACATGGATTGGCAGGTTTGTATCTGAGGCTATTCCTTGCCCTTGATTTGTTACTGATCGAAGACTGGAGACAGTGTTCGCTTCCGGTATGAGATTAAAGTGATCTTTACCGTCGCGCTCCTTTCGCTGCCAAATGGACCCGTTAAGACTGCGCAAAAGAGTTTATCTTTTAGTGGGTTCTTAACAATTGCCTTTTATCAACCCTCTCCTAAGCTATCGTGGAGTCGTGATAGTCCAAATTTGTGGATTCTATTTTTTTTATCGCATGGCTGGATTCAGATTGATGACAAAAACAATCCCAACAAAGCCGCAACACCTGGCGTTCATGCAATGAACGCGCTCGAAATGTCGGCTGTCGCTATTGCAGACAAACTTCGAGTGGTGAGTCTCCATATTTTTCTCTGGAGCCCAGTCAGTTTGAGAGTATGTGCCTTGTTCAGGTGGATGATTACCAAACTCATCATCGTCTCCGCGAAGCCACCGGCCGAAAACGCGCCGAACAACTAAATGAGCGTGTTTTGTTATGGAGTTTAGGCCAGACAGCGTTGATAGTCCTTATTGGAATTGCTCAGGTAAAGTTCTAAATTTGTTTTTGCAGAATTGGTTTGGTGATGGTAACGTCTTTCACATTTTGTTTGGAGAATTGTGCTCTGGTGTTTGATCAGTTCTTCTGTTGGAATGACTGAACAGCCCTTAGAAGGGATCATTAAGTCAATAAAGGGGTACCAACGAAGATTGTTTATTTGCCCAAATCCAACTCGCCTACGTACTAGTGACGTTTTACTAGACTGTAACGCTCTCATTCAGGTAATATTGCTGCGATCGTTTTTCTCGGAAAAGCGAACGAGGTATTAGGATAGAAAGCTCGAGTGTCAATAGCGCCTTCAGTCCTTTAACAGTTATTTCGTGTTATTTATTCTTCAGAACATGTGATGGTAGTTTTTCTTTCTTTTTTTGCGTTGCATCAATAATTTTTTTACTGATCACATAAGTGTAATAGGGTTTCTTGTATGCATAACAAAGTTAGTTATGCGATCGATTCTGATCCGGGACACGTATTGTTCAATATTGCATGACTCTCTTTTCATATATACGTATAAATTTTATGTAAGCTTGTTCTTTTCGAATTATTTCTACTGTAATGATATCCTAATGTTTTCTATTGTTGCAACACCCCACCCAGATTACAGTATTCAAGGCGTTTTGCCCAGTAACATCGCGATTCATTTCGTTGAATAAACTTATATGAACGCTTAAGGCAAGATAATCTAAATAAATAGAGGTATTTGATTCCTCCATTGTGCTCTTAAATGAAGATATGCGCTTTGTTCGAGGCTTTCACATAACAATCCCAATAAATTTCATCCGCCTGCAGGTTGTAGATTGCAGCACTTTCAATTAGAACTGTTTTATGTTGATGACATTATAATGATCAGAAATGCGTTCGATATCGATCGATTGTGCATAGCCAATCGTCAGCCTTATGACTAGTGAAGTTCGACGCGGTTCTGGAGTGATAGCTCACCTTTTCGCTCCTGAAGAGAGAGGGAGTCAAAGCAGGGTGATGTGCAGTCAACGGGAAGAATGCAGAGGCATGGGAAGGGAGTAGGGTACTCATGTGTGACAGGAGAGGGGTGTACTGCAGGCAGATCAAAAAACGGGCATTCATGGATTCAAAACCGCATCTGCCAACTTTCGAGCAATGACGATTTTTAGTAATTTGTTGGCGAGGTGATTATGCTTTCCTGAGTACCTGGCTGTCATCTTTCATGAAGATTTCATTTTTGAACACCGATTTCACAAGATTTCAAATATGTCCAATCCAAAAAAAGTTCGGCATTACCGTGAACGGCTGATTGAAATGCTGTCAGAATTAGCGACATTAAGTAACTGCTTCAAAGGCTCAAGGATCGGAAAATATGTGAGTTCATACTACTGGCGTCAGGACGCCGACTTCACACTGCCGCGGACCAATAGCTCGCAAGTCGATGACTTATGCCGCAGGATGTGGGCTTATAGTGAACGGATGGAAGAAAGATTCGGGTGAAAGAACCAAGTTTTGCGGATTAAAAACTTTTTTCCTTGTCCTGACGCCTG